TTGAGTTTGCTGTAAGCCTATAACTAGACTGCAAAAATATTTCAATTTCAAGTATCAAAAGCAATATTACTAGGATTTAAAAACATTTAATTAAGATATCCTATTAGACCCTTGTTTCTTTTCTTACAAATGACTGATGTATTCAATTTTTTTTTCCTAACTAGTGTCCTAGATGTTTGTCAAAGGACATTGAACACTAGTTTTATAGCATCAAATGGTTGTCAACACCGTTGCTTCGATTGATAACTACGAATCACTTTTTTATAAAAAATTGTGTATGCTTGAATTGTTTTGCTCATGTTAGGATCATGTTGGTGGGTAATGTGTAAGAGTGTAATTACCCATATAACTTGAACTATATATAGTTCTTGAAATATACCTTGACTTATGATGGTGATTAGAGTCGAAATTACCCAATCTTTTTTGTACAAAAAAAAAAAAAAAAGGTTAATGTGTGTCATGCGTTGAATGTTTTGCTTTGCTTTTGCATAAAGAAAACTGATCACTCTCAATCATCGTGCGTTATAAGATTAATAAAAAAAAAAGATTAATGCCAACAAATAAAAATTTAAGGCGATAATAATTATTTCCTTTTTGGCACATAAATTTGAATATGAAAAAAACTATAATGTTGGGACATTAATTGACTAAATTGGGAGAAAAATAACTTTTTCTTTTTTTTTCCTTCTTTATTTCTTTGGGCAAGTAAATAAAAAGTGAACGTTTTAACAAGAAACACGTAGCCATAACACACAGGTTCTCTCCGTCTCACACCTATTGCATATTCCAGTGCCATTCATTCTGGGCCATTGAGACTCCGGCCACCGTTTTCCCTGGTAATTAATCTTCCACTTTACACGTTCTTGTTTTTTAACGATCCTATAACTTGTCTAAGCAAATTCCAGTGCATGTAAAAATGATTAAAACAAATTATTCTTAGATTCTGGATAATGGATTATAACATATGAATAGGATTATAAATGATTGTGACATTTGTTGTTGATTAATATGGAAAAAAAATGTTAGAACTTGAGAATGCATGGCTTCATTTTTTTGGTTAGGATGTGATGCTATTCTATTGTATATTTTGCGCTTTATTTTGGTTCAATTTTCTTGCATGTGGAAGTAGTATGTGGTGTGTTGTAATGTGTGTCATCCGTTATGTTCATGCTACGGTTTTATTGACTAAGTCAGTGTTTTAATGCTTACATGAATTACATGTTTCTCTTTAAATAGCACATGGTCGATCTAGTAGTTGTGAAAAATTCTTGAATCAAATTATAGTTTTTCTTTTGGTTAATGGTTTTTAGAGATTTGTGATTAATCTATAAACATTATAGCTACTTGACATTAAGTAATGGGAATTGATTGAAAAGTTTAGGGTTTTCCAAACTTGATTCACACTAACAGACCCTCTCCTTTGGAAAAGCTTCAACGTATATATATGTGTGTGCGCGTGCATGCACGCGTGTACATGTATATATATATGTGTGTGTATATGTTTGTATATGTTGGTGTTTTTGGTTGCAACAACCGGCCGGTTCAGTGTACATCATTTCAGTTCCATGGTTGAGGGAGAGGGATTGAATATTTACTTCTTTTGTTTCCCATTCTCAAGGGCTTTCCTAGTTGTTAGTGCTTTTCTGGTCTGTTTGATCAATCATGCACCTTTTTATCTAACTGGAATCAGTTTTTTATTTGTTGAAATTTTTTTATCTGAAGGAAGTTCATGCACCTCAAGGTTTCGCCACTATCTGAGCTCTTTAATTTACTTGTTTGATTTACCATCACATCATTGATCCTTCCCGATGAGTCTTTTTCTTTGCGATTTTGTTTTTTCTTGACATGATAATTATATGCTTCTTGAAGAATGTTTCTTTTTATTGTAAATGCTACAATAGAGTCTTAAAATATGGAAAGTTTATGTAGCCATTGCAAATTTTAATTACTTTTGTCTCACAAAGGATATTCTTTTTGAGTTTGGCAAGAGTTTGATGTGGAATTTGAAACATGTGGTCGGTGGGCAGAATTGTATATATGATGGAGTTAGAAAATGTAGACTAAAGCAGGAGTGTTTTGGACTACGTTTATTACAATTTTGAAATTTGGGTTAATTGTAGTAAAACCAACTGAAACTGTTAATTGTAAGAAAGTTACTACAAATGAAAGTAGACATTGTTTTGAACAAACCGAAGCAAAATAGATCATTTTAAATTGGGATGAAGCGGCAGATGAAGCAATAAAGTGATTATACATGTAAATTACGAAAACTTTAAGCCTGAGGATGGATTTTATGTGACTTTCTAAGAGGTTTCTTATATTAGCCCAGGAATCTTTACAATGGGTGCAAAATGTTCTTCTTGACCTCTTTATTAAGAAATGCTTTGTTTGTGGTAAGAAACCCTGATAGGGAAACTTTAGAAAAATCTTAACCAAGGTGATATTCTACTGGCACATATACAAGCTGTTTTCAAATCTTCAAGAAGCTTATCAGGAAAGTGACAGTCAAGAATCTCAAAAAAAGTTTTAACTAGTGAAGCTCTAAAACGAAGGCAAATGGAAAATCTGCTTAGATTTTTTGGCTATTAGCATTCTTAACCTGTCAATTTATAACTGTCTGATGTTGGTTGTCCAGCAGGCAAACCTCTATCTTTTCATTTTGGTTGCTGTAGTACCATAATTCATCAAATGGAGTATTCCTAGACATGTCCTGAACTTTCTGTTGAAGTGTTAATCTGATCTCAAAAGCTGGCAAAATTTCTTTAACAAAATTACTTATAATTGTTTTCATTTTGGTTGTTTATGAGTGACATGATGGTTAATTAACAAGTGTATGTCTTGATAGAGCTAGGCTTTTCTGTCAAAATCAAGAGCAGGTAGTAATAACAAAATCTGATCCATATTAGATGAACTTGCTTTTTTGTTGTATCTGTAGTTAGAGGAGGCGTAGTTTACTTTAGATCCGAAAAGACTATGCTCTTGTTGGCTTTACATTAGAATTTCCATCATCCTAAGCAATGTGAAGGTAACTCCAGAGTCCTTTAAGGACAGTGGATGAAGTTTGAAGGAACCTTACCTATGCTTTTTTGGTTCTTGAATCTTGGGAAAATTTTACCAGAGAGTTCAGTGGTACAACTACATTGATGGTCATATCTGACTCCTGATGGTTTCAGATTTTTGTTCAATTTTCAATGTCCACTTCTCCGAGATATTTAGTCGACATCCTTGTGATGAAAAAAAAAAAAAAAAAACTTAGTCGACAAAAAGTGAAAGGAAAATTACAAAAGAGAATACAGTTCAGCCTGTTCATATCAAGATTAGAAGTTCTAGAGATGCGTATGAAGTTTTACCTGATTAGTCTCTGAGATTACTTAAATTGAGGTTAATTTTCTTTCAAAGATGATGTGTGGCAAGGGAACCTTCTTAGATGTAGGTAGTGTTAGGGCTCTGGAAATAAAAAGTCCTGAAGAATAAAAACATCCCTCTTCTGAATATAAAGATATTCTCTTTTTTCCTCCTTTTTTTGGTTTGCTTTTGGCAGCTTAATTGATCATGGTCCTTCCAACTAAACAAAAGAAGAAGCAATGACAATATGAATATCACTGTGTGCATAAATTACATTGGGTTTTCTGTGCTGATGTCTTTCATTTGGTTGTAATAGGATCTGATTATCAGCGACTTTAGAAGTTCTTGCTGTAGCCGCAATTTCTTTAAGTTAATCCAGGGCATTGTAAAGTTGAATGATTCAGCAGGTTACCGAAGTTGGTAAATACTGATATAACCAGTACATTGGGGATTCTGAGTTTGCCTTCCTAGGTAATAGTCAATCAGAAAGAGTTTTTACAGAAATCATTATACATTAACTTTTGCCGCCACATCTGAGATTTCCAAGTTTTCTTTTTTTGTTCTCATTTTCTTTTATAGCTGCTGGATGATTGATTATATTCACATTGTATTAATCCCGAACCATCTGGAGTTATGTTTTATTATCTTTAATACTGTTTATTACCTAGTCTAAAATACGCATCAGCCTGTCAAACATTTTTTATTAAAATTTCCAGCAATAATTATTTGAGGATTATTAGATATTATAACAGTCAACATTTTTTATTATCGTTCATATTTTTAAAATATATTGATCTTAGTTAAGAACTCACTCAGTTGGGATATCAATTCCCTGATGATAACATAAAAAAAATGTATTAATAGACTAAGAGGAGATATTAGCATATGAAATGTCATATTTAAAAGTTCTAGGATTTTTGATTCAATAAAAGCACTTCTTAGGCAATATCCTTTCTCTAGAACTAGATCCTATAAACATCTTTTCAGAATGAGTGCCCTGGTTCTCCTTGTGGAAACATTAATCTCTATTCCACTTCATCTCACAGAAATTGTACATTGTTGTGCATAGCAACATCTGAAGATGATAAACTCCTAGCAGAATTGGTTAATTGGCTGTTTGAGGATGTCTTGGTGTATGTTTGGAAGTGTGCTTTTTTGAAATCTCATGCCACTTAATATGCTCTCTCTCTCTCTCTCAGATTATATGTGCATGAGGCTTGCCTAGAAGCATCCTCATTGTTGGTTCCAAAATCCTATTGAGTTAGAGAGGCCAATCTACTCTTGGTCCAAAGAAAATTGTGATTGTGAGATAAATTGCAGATTTGATACCTAGTGCTGGTTTTGATGACTAGCGTATTCAATTCTGCAATTTGAACTTAGATGCTTGAAGTAAAATTACTTTCACTGTCCTGCTCTATTGTTTCTTGTGTTGCTTATTGAAATAGATCCCATTATGTTGTCATTTGCTAATGAGAGTGTTCAACCTGATGATTACAGGATGGATCAGGAATGACAATGTAATGCTTACTTTTTGAGAGCTGAATATCAGTGAAATTATGAACATCCAGAGTTGAAACATTTCTGAGGTGAAATTGATAATTACTTGCGGTTCTCTGGATTCTTCAGTTTAGCCTCATTTTGTTCCAGGAGTAACCCTTAAAAAGTATGACTTCTGGAAATGTTACTTCCCAAAACTTTAGAAAAGCTTTTGGAGCTTTAAAAGACTCTACAAAGGTTGGAATGGCTATAGTTAACAGCGAAAACAAGGTGATCCCGGATATTATGCAAGATATGTACTATTTTATGTCTTTTTTTCATCAAAGAATTTTGAGATGTATGTATGCTGTGCATTAGGAGCTGGATGTTGCTATTGTCAAAGCCACAAACCATGATGAAGTATTGCCAAAGCAGAAACATGTACGAAGTGAGTTAAAGTTTGTTCATGCAAGTGAAGCTAATTAATTCTCATTACATGCTGTTGGTATCTCTGATGTGTTCTTGTAGATTGGAAATTGAAATAATTTTGGCTTCTAATACTGCACTTGATAATTTTATGGCAATTGAGTACACAAATAACCTTAGAATTACAAGCATAAAACGTTCTTTCTCTTCTTTTCCATTCTCCTGAATTCTGTGGATTGAAAGATAAACTTCTCATAGTTTTGACCTTTAAATTTTAGTAATTTTAAATTTCTTGAGGGAATCAAACAATCTCTAGCAGTTTTCTCTAATGAATGAAGCTGCATGCTGACACATGCTTATTTTGTTTCTCATCAGCAATCTTCAACTCGCTGTCAGCATCAAGCCCTCGAGAAGATGTTTCTTATTGCATACATGCACTTGCCAGGCGTCTTTCCAAAACACATACTTGGACAGTATGCCCTTTAGCACCTTCTTGCTTAAACTTTCATTATCTGTCATACGTTCCCAGAATTCTCCAAATTCTCTGCGTTTAACTTTTGATATGTGAGGTCACACAAACTTGTAGGATTGCTTTAAGAAGGCCAATAGTTCATGTGAATCTTTACGAATGCTTGCTATACAATTTTCTGTTTACCCTACCAAAGATCAGTACTTATCCTTGACCTTGATTTGACTGTTCTACAGATGACTTGTTCCCTTGTCTGTTGCATATGATGTAAAATGAGCTACGTTTGAATCCTTTTTCCTATGTACCAAATTTTATCTTGTTAATTTGATATGCTTTGTGAAATAAATTTACTATTGTTGAGGCTTTATTTATGAAGGAAAGTACAGGTGGAAAGTCTTTCTAGATAAACAGCAGTCTATGGAAAGTGCAAGACATTTTCCTTGGTATCGTTTGGCTAGAAAATTTCCCCGAAAGGAGTTTTCTATTAATTTACCAAATTTGGATAGTTGTAGAATGGTCTTGTCTTGCTTTAACACTTCAACAAAATCTACAAATTTTGCAAGAATGAAAAATGGGAAGCATTTGCTAACAAAGGGTAACCCATAAGTTTTCTGCAATCAAAACATAGATAAGGGAATAAATCACTATCTTTCGTTTATTTTTGTTTCTTTTCAGTTTTTGATTTCCAGTCAAACAGTAGCTAGAAGAGTTAAATTGGAGTAACTATGTTGTGGAATACAAGCTGATATGTTTTTTTTTTTAAGAATTTGTGCAGTAATTATACATTAATTTACATAAATAAACTCATACAACCAAGTCTACAACTTCTCTTTTCTACAAAGCTTTATAGGAATTAGTTTCTTTATTTTGTTAAGCATCTTTTTGTTTGAAATAGATCATTCTTCTATAGTAGTTCACAATATCTTTTCTGCTCTTTACTCAGGTTGCATTGAAAACTTTGGTAGTTATACATCGTGGATTAAGGGAAGTTGATGCAACGTTTCAGCAGGAGCTCATTGAATATGGTTATAGAAAAAATCACCTGCTTAACCTATCACACTTCAAGGATGATTCGAGCCCCAGTGGTGAGCATTCTACTGATTTTCTTTAGATCTGGAACTTTCAAGGAACTAAAAATTTGGAGTTTTCTGTTGTGAAGCGTGGGAAAATTCATCTTGGGTTCGTTGTTATGCTTTATATCTTGAAGAACTCCTCGAATGCTTCCGAGTATTGAAATATGACTTCCAGAAGGATCGCTCGGTATGCTATTGCATTATGCTATAGTGCTGAAATTTATTGTTAACAGTGAAGCTGGAAAGTGAGAAAAATTCATGTTGGTTTAACAGGACAACAAAATATAGCATTTCCTATCAAAGATCTTGCTAGGATAGGCTATATATAACTTGAGCTTTGGTCCAAGTCTACTGCATATGATTATAGATTCTGATGCATCTTACTGTCCACTCAATGGATATCCCAGATAAGGGACAAATGCTATAGTGTAAAATGAATAATATGCCTTTTTGACAGAGAATCAAGGCTCTTGACACGTCAGATTTGCTTGAGCAATTACCTGTGTTGCAGCAACTCCTTTTTCGTCTCCTTGATTGTCAGGTTATATCTCATTTCTTATTGGCTGTTTTTATTTATTTTATTTTATCTTTTGTCTATTGAGCCTTTTCGGTCTCCACTAGTACTAGGTTTAGTCAATGGACAAAAATTTTTACTTGGATAGAGGATCATTGATTATGTATCCTCTTGGCAGCCAGTGGGAGCATCACAACCTAACTTCTTGATTCAGTATGCTCTTTCAATTGTAAGTAACATCCGAGGTTGTTGCTTTAAGAGATCATTTGGTTCAGATGTATGTTCATCTTATGGTTTTTATATTCCAGGTTGCAGCAGAAAGTGTTAGGCTATATGTGATAATTACAGACGGGACTCTGAATTTGGTTGACAAGGTAAAAGATGTTATCCCAATAATTCTACTGCATTTACATGATAGTTTGGGCATTGACTTATATTGTTGCACAGTTTTTTGAGATGCAGCGTCATGACGCTGTCAGATCACTTGAGATTTACAAGAAGGCAGGGAAACAGGTATTTAGCTAGTTTCTCTTTACCATGGATGCTCCTTCTCATAACATTTCCAGAAACCAGATAAACAACATATTTAATACCTGCAGGCAAAAAGGCTATCTGAGTTCTTTGAGCTCTGCAGGAGCCTTGATTTTGGACGAGGACAAAACTACATTGAAATCAAACAGGTACCATACTTCAGGGGTTGTTTGCCTGAATATTGATAATTTATTGGAAATTAAAGAAATATCATCTATTCAGGTTCCAAAACAGTGAAGTGAACATTACAGTCGATCTTAGAGGAATCAACTATAAAGTTGATTTCTTAGACATTGACTACTTCTTTGTTCTTTTTTCACTGTTTCTTTCTTCTTCTTATGTGACACTTCTCATTTCTTCTCAAACTCCATCCATTCCTTTCTCTCCTCCTACAGTCACTTTTCTAGTTTTGGGGTGGTAGTTTGATACTGATGGTGGTCCTGGTGTTGCTGGTTGTGGAGAGGGAGATTTTGGAAGTGAAAGATGCCGTAGGAGGCACGGCTCACATGATCTTTCTCTGTGGCTGCTCTTCTGCTCTCTTGTTGTGTGCGCATATAGAAAATTTATGAAGAAGGATAGGAGAAGGGAGTAGGAGAAGGGAGAAGGGAGGAGAAAGCGAAGAAGAGATGGACAGGAAGGAGTTTGAGAAGAAAAGGAAGAATGGCAGCGCAAGACGTAGATGGAAGCGCCATAAGAAAATTTCACTACTTTGGGATCTCTAATAAACCAACAATACATAGTTATTGTCCAACAAAAAATCAATATTTGGGTACATAACCTAGACTTTATGCTTAATGTGAATTGCTTAATACCTGAGGTTTGTTTATCCTTACTATTGAGCTGCAGCCCGCAGAGTCGTTCATGACAGTCATGGAAGAATATGTGAAGGATGCCCCACAGACTCTGATGCTTCCATGGAGGGTGGTAAGTCTGCGTATTTTTTACTTTTTTTTGGGGGGGGAGGAAAGTCTTTTCCTTTATTAATGTAAAAATGAAGCTTAAACAAGTGGATGGACTCCCTCAACCACTACAAGAAAACAGTATCAATCAACAAGGAAGTAGAGGACCAAATACTATGCACATACTCGCTGTTACATCCAAGGGCTAATTGCTACCTGATCACAGAAAGATATCCAGATATATAATCTGATAAGATCTTTTAAAAAGATATCCCTGTAGTCCGCTTTGAATTTTTTTAAGTTACTCAACATTGTGCAAGTTGCTCTTGCATCATGTCATGTATCATCTCTGTTTAACTCCTGAATGGCCATCTACCTAGACACACCTGCCATGTAATAGTTTTTTTAAAGGGAAAGCCAAAATTCCAGAGTTACTGATTGTTGAGGCTATTGAAGTGAGAAATTTCAGTGCTAGAATTTTCAGGTAGTATTTAGAAAAATTTAAATGTATTAGAGGCATCTATTGTTAAATCAAGTCATTAAAGTTTCTTTTTTCTCATGTCATAGATAGCTGGGCTAAAACTTGAGTTAGACAGATCCATTAACAAAGTTATACCAACAAAATTACTGCTGGATATCTGTTATAAGTTTCTTGAAAGTTAAACAACCTGATCTTCTTGTTATAAGTACCTTGTAAACTTCATCGAGCAACTCGCTTGTAATTTAGGGTCTCCATCATAATGCAAGAGGGTAGACTGCAGAGTTGTCCTACGTTTGCACTATGTTGTCGCTTGGTTATCAATTTTTTTGAAAAAACGGTGGATCACTGACTAACACTGTGCAATGCAGAAGTGTACTAGTGTTGCACATGCTTATTATCACATATTCCAATATTAACCATCCTTCTTTTAAAATTGTATTCATTAATATAACTGCATTACACTTGCAATATTTCTGGAATTTATAGCTTTGGTTTATTTCACTTTGCATAAGTTTTAATGGTGAAGACCTAATAGCTCTGATATATTTAAAGTTAGCCAAATTTGATTTGATTACTACTCAAAAGCTCCTATACTTCAATTTCCTTGCATCGTGATTGGTGCAATGCCCTGCCCTATAGCTTTACCTTTTGAAGTCTGACAAAAACTATCTTAAAATACTGTATAAGGAATCAACCGCCATGGTGTTTTTGACATGCATAGGTACAAAAAATGAAATGTCTTAATAAGAAAAGCTCATTTGTGTTTACTTTAGTATTCCATTTTCTTATGTCATCAGGGTGATAATGACAAAGTTAGAACTCCCAAAGCAACTATTGCAGTAGATTCTAGCTTGGACATAAATCATGAGCTAAGTGATGGTGCAGAAAATTGTTCAGACCCCTCTGTAGTTTCTGATAAGGTCTCAAAAAATGAAAATACTGAAAGTTCTGCTACACCTCCAGTTGCTGATTTATTGGTAAGGCCATCTTGAACTTGTAAAAATTCTACCAGAAGGCATGGTTAAATCTTTTGATTTTTAAACTTTGCCTTTTCTTTTAGAGCCTTGATGATTTATTTCCAGAAGCATCTCCAATGGAGGACACAGATTCTGCTCCTTCAGCAATCATAAGACCTGGTTGTTTTCTTTCCCAAATTATTGATGTCAATTTTGTTAAGAATGTAGTTTATGTTTATTCTAACAAGTCATAACAATGCATTACAGGAGATCAGTTGAATACCTCTCTCAATCCGGATTTGATTAGTCAATCTACTAGCTGGGAGCTTGAACTTGTGTCAGCTCCAAGCTCTAACCTGGCAGTTGTTACAGCAAGTACACTGGTTAGCCCTTCCAGGAAAATATTGCTTTTCGCCTTTCGGTAAATCTCCTAAATGCAATGTTACCTAGGGGGCATATACGGCTTCCTCTTTCCCCTTTTAATGGACAGAAGGACCTTTTTGGCCTAAGTGGTTGGAATGTTAGGATTGATCTAAAGAAAAGTTATGCAGGATCTTTAACATATGAATGTTAAACGTAGAAGGCAATCAAAAGTAGTTTGTCTAGTGTTAATTTTTTCACTAGCATTGAAATTTGTTTATCAATTTACAGTGATAGTTATATGGTTCACGATCAAACATCCTGCTTAAAATCATGGATGATCCGGCACTATTTCGGAGAGTGGTTCCTCTCTGATTAACAGTTTGATTAGCAAGGTGGACCATTTTGAAGAGTGGTTTCTCTCTCAGTAATAGTCGGATAAGCAAGAGTGAGGTTAATCGCTAGCTTAATTGAGCCATGAATGTTTAGGTTCTTATTAACGAAAAAATATTGGGGTAGTTTTGTAGTACTGAATTTGTAGGAAACCCATATGATTGTCAATGTTGTAAACCAAGTTGTCGTCAGAGTTTCTTGACCAAGATGCTTGTGGTAGAAGCATGCACTTTTCTTTGAATGAGTTTCTTGTGCCATAAAATCTCTAATGATATTAGCAAATTCAGGGTGGTGGACTAGACAGATTGACCTTGGATAGTTTATATGATGTTGCATTGGCAAAAGCAAATCCGAGTGGAATGAACCAAGGGTCAGGAATCTCATCAAATCCCTTTGAAGATGCTAGTTATGAACTAGCTCAGTATCCACATCATGTGGCTCAGAGTATAGAACCTCCTGCTGAAGCTCATACATCAGATATGGCGCAAAAACAAGAAGTATACATGCAGCAGGAGCAGCAGGTTATGGTAGTTCATGAATCAAGTCATCCCTTTGGGAATCCTTTTGTTGATCAGGGCACCGCTTGTCCATCTCAGAGCCAGTCACTCCATGCTAGCTCAATCTGAATTGATGATGGGATCAGCTTCTGTATAAAGTCAGCAATCTTATGTGCAACTAACTCAGTCTTATGAAGCCAAGAAATATGCAATATGTGCAGTTTTTGGTTCTATATTTTAGGCTTGACCGCTTGCTTTCACTTGTTCAGCCACTAGATTAATGTGGCTTTCATTTTTGAGTTAGATTTACGTGAGAATAGTTTTTGAATAATCTAATGTAAGTTCTCTTTGTTTTGTTTGGATTCTACAGTCGGAAAATTCCTTCAAGCGCAGAATGGTTTAAATTGTTTATTCTATTTATTTATAAACAATTGAATAAACTTCACAGTTCATACTTCCAAAAGAAATTATTAATTATAAAATTTCCATTTCCGTTTGCCTTTCAACTAGATTGTATTAACAAAAAATAACTCTCAAGTAGGGGTGGGCGCGGGTCGGGTACCCCTCCCATTCACCATTTGGCAGACCCAACCCGCACCTTGCGGGTCAGCCATTTTCTGACCCTTACCCGTCCCGCATATCAATGGGTACCCTATAACGGGTACCCGCTGAGATAGGGTCGGATCAACGGGTACCCGCCCCGCCCCGTTTATCATTTAATTTTTTAAAAAAAATGATTTATACCAATTTAATTTTATATTTTACACATTCATTTAAGATTTAATAATTTTTTTCTGAAAAAAGGTTTCCCACCAAGAAACAAGCATATGAAGAGTATATAAGATGAAGGAAAAAAATTAAAAGAATTCAAAATCAATAAAAGTTTGAAATAAGTAACATAATTTTTAATATATATGTTCCACATTAATTAAACTTTTTTCTATAAAATATAAGATCATGACCTTTACAAATGAATCTTGTAAATAAACTATAGTTTCTCATATTTGTAATGCAATTTGTTCAATAAAATTACTTATTTAGTTCTAACTTATTATTTTATAGTGTGTGTATAAAAATAAAAATAAAAAACATATATATGCAGGACGGATCGGGTACCCGCGGGTTTTTAATTATGTGACCCTAACCCGCCCTGCATCTTAGCGGATACCCGACCTTCTTTTGACCCGATTAAATAATAAAAATCGGATATCCTAATTTTCGGATCGGATCGGATCGAATGTGACGGGTTTTCGGGTTAACGGATAATTTTGCCCACCCCTACTGAATTTAATCAATGGCCCTTTGATTTAAAGCTCTTAAAGTCTTTGTGAGATAGGAAATCAAAGTTTCGAAACTTGCTCCGATCAATTGCCACTATGTATGTGGCTCCTCCAACTTCTCCAATTTCAGTGGTTTGGCTTGTCCCCTTCCCTCATAGTATGGTATTAGAGTAGGAGAAGACATAAGCATGGATTGTTTACATTAACTATCTCCTTCTAAACCTATAACCACTTTCAGCTGTATTATTCTCTACCGCTGATCTCTTTGAAACTGCCCGATTACCGTTCTACACACCGTTTGACGGTCATTCTACTGCTTTTTTCCCTCTGCACTCCAATAACACACTATAGCACTTCTTTGATTCTTCAGAAATCTAACCATTTCACTGTCATTCTACAGCTTTCCACCCTCCACACTCCTCTAACACACTGGAACTCCCCTTGATTCTTCAGTAATCGATCAATTCTCTTCTGTTAAATACTTGGCCATCAGCGAGCTAACTATTTTGTTGCAACTACAACTTACCCATAGACATAAATAGTAAATGAATGATGGGATTTTAGGAGAAGGTCCTATCAGTAATTAGAAGATGACCAATTGATGAGCGTAGAAATAGATCTTAATCTTCAAAGATCACATAAATCAAGAAACCCTCTACACCGCGCCACCAAAAGACAAATCTTCCATGCTGTTCACCGCACAAACTGGAATATTCAACAAGGGGATCAGGACTTCAAAAGCTGCAAGGAAACTTCAGCTTTTCTATAGAGTATAGATCATAACTATCATACCAAAAAGAATCTTGACATTTTTGCTACAGGGATTTACGGTTTCACTGAGACTCAGTTTTCCATGTACAGAAAATCTAGCCAGTTGGGATATTAGTGACAGCGTATTACACAGAAAAAGAATCTAAACATAGCCGTAATCCATAGAAAAGATGAGAAGAATTTTGTAACAAAATTGCCACATAAGTTTGTGGCTGTTCATTGTTTGTACAAAAGGCGTTGACAAATATACTGATCCAATGGAAAAATGACAGTCTTATCCGGTGAAAAGCTTCCTGAAATCCTTTCGATCTTTCGCTGCCTCCGTTAAAGCAAGGAATCTCTTGAATCCAGTTGTAGCAGCACCTCTTCCAAGTGCAGCTGCTCTGGCAAGGACATCTTCCCTGGAAATTAAGCTTCCAACCACAGCTGGACTTGTTATTGCAGGTGCTGCAGAGGGAGGGGGTGCAGATGGGACAGCTGAAGGGCCAGCAATTGCAGGCTGAGTAATTCCTGACCCACGTCGACTAAAATCATCCAATATACTTTGTTGGTCAGTTCTTTTCAGACCCTGTCGAAACATCAGACAAGCAACAAGCAAAATCAGTACTGTTAAGCCCAAAATATGCAATTGACATTCATTTAATATCCTTACAACCAATTTTGGCCACTTCATGTTCTTCCAAAGCTCATGATACAGAAGATGGCTTGGCCAAAATAAATTATGGAGACTAAATGCATATGTTGCTTTATTGAGAGATGAACCAAAAGACTTATATATTCAACTAATGCAGACCAAGGACAAAAAGCTTGCTATTAGGCTTTTCATATAATAAAATATATAGAAGCACAAGTATTCACGAACTCCCCAAGTAAAAGTCAAAACATGCAGAAGATAAGAATGCAGCAACCCCACCATAATTCCTCAGTAATCCCACCATTTAGCCAAAAAAAATAAAAAAACTTCTTTAATTGATTTATCTTTCTACCAAACTTACTAGTGGAACTTCACCAAAGATCAAATAGTGATTTGCAATAATAAGATGTTGCTGACTATCACAAACACTTCCTCTTTTTTGAAAGAAAATTTGATTTTTCATGAAAATCTAGTCTTGCTACCTAAATCTCCATAATAAAGGAATAAACAAACATAATATATCATCCCCACTTTCTTATTCAAACAAACAAAAAAAAGGAAGGTGCAGAACTTTTCATTGCAATACCACAAAACATACTACAAGACACAAGAAATTATAGGTGCATGTCATAAAACACCAATCTACAGGCAGGCAGAGAGAAAAAACAAGCAGATAGTAATTTAAGGAATAAGTGCTTTTGTCCTGTCTGACAAATAATTTGAAACAAAAGTTCAGGAAACTACATGGGACTTGAAGAACCCAGAAAACCTCTCCTTTGAACCCAGATCACCATTTTCCAATCTTCAGACACGTTTCATTCCAATAAATATATAACTAGCCAAGATGTTACACTTTTTAATACCAGAAACTTCTTATAAGGAATCTATTCGTTATAACATCTGCCAGAGACCAGCTTAGAAAGCAACTTTGGTACCTTCTAGTAGGCCTTACCAAACTCTTTGCATCAAAATCTAATTATCACATATCCTTGCAGACCATTTTGACATGCCCAGGAAAAGCACAAATTACCTTTAGCGCAATCAAATTATAAGCCAAAGACCAACATTCCAATCCAATCATTTTTATTTTCACAAATCCAAAAACAATGATAGGTCTGCAAGGAAAGGAGGAGAAATGGATCATAAGGTTGGTAATAATGGATTTCAACCTTAAGTTCCAAAATCCGTTGGAATTCAGTAGGTGTTCCCTCTGGCAGTAGTGCACAATATGTATCTGCAACAGAATCAATCGGGGAGAGTATGACCTGTACAACAAACGAAATTGAATATCTAGGAATGCATGTTATGCAAAAATTTATTGAACGACGCGATAAAGATACTTAAAAGTAGAAAACTTCAACTCTAATTTAGTCACAGACCTTCAAGAGTGCTTCTGCCTTGCTCATCTCACGACTAACAAATTTTGAGTAGCTAGAAGCTCCAGAAGTCTAATCAGAGAAACAAACACATTTGATAAAGAGGTATTATAACATTCATTAAACAGGAATGACATAAATCTAATGACAAGTTTCCTAAAAACCGATCCTTGAGAAAAATAATTTCAAATTGGTCCCATGACCAACTAGCTAATGAAGGATGAATCGAAGATATCCTGTAATATAGGCTGGCTAATTTAACACATCAGCAGCAGGCTTGTACACGGAGAAAAAAAGAACAAATTAGGAAAAGATAGGCAAAACCTCCTGTAGGTGTAGACAACTAGCCCAAAACTAGTTATAATAGTCTAATCTTCAGTTTTAACTTGATCCGCCTAAATTCAGAAACCAAAGGCACATTTCTTTCACCCTCAACTAGTTTTTATTGCCTATTCATGAGGAGTTTAAATGGACAAGCCTGCAATAGTTTTTTTTTTTTTTTTTTTTTTGGAGTTACATGTTGGAATGTTGAGGATGTAATTGGTGTCAATTGAGCTCATATTTTGGGTCAAGGTACAAGTAAGCTTTTTCATTGGAAAGAGTAGAGATGTATGCTTTTTGAAAAAATCCTACCACAGTAGGAAACCTTCACCTAGATATTAGGTTCTCACTCCTTTACTTGCATGATTTAGATTGAGGTCCAGAGGTCATTATAATATTCCCAACACGGGATCCCAAAAACATTGCTGCTCATAACTAATGGACTATAGAAGCCAAGTTAAAGTTTAATTAGAAAAATGCAATCATTCAGGATACCTGTCTTCCAAGGGAAGGAATATCCAGAAGAATAGTCTTTACAGCCTGAGTATCCAACAACATCTGCAAATGCACAAAATCTTATTTCACATCAGAAAATTTTCCTTGCATGAAATGGACCCAAAACTACATGCTTGATTAAAGAACAACAATCGTGATCCGAACAAAGTAGATATAAGCACAGATAGAAAGTGTTGATGATAAATTAGACCCAACCAGTGTAGAGAACATGACAGAGCAAGAGGGCAAAAAAAAAAGGAAGAAGAAGAAGTATACTTGCTGTGCTCCAGTTTCTGATATCTGCTTGCACCTGAATATATTGGAATAAAAACGTGGAGGAAGAGATGACGCAAGCTGCATGGTACAGG